TCTGTGCAAAGCAAAATCCGTGCTTGGTTTGACCCATCATATATTATATTATTATTGATTTGATTAGTACTGTTCAAAAAGCATAAAAGGGAGAGAAGTAACACAAATCATTTTCTTGGCTTCCCTGTGACAAGCAACAATATTAATTATACCTCAAATTCAAAGTGTCCAATCAGAAAGCTAAGTTTGTTCCACATGAGCATGAAATTTATCCTTGAACATGGACGCTCTGTGAGAGAATATATAAACTGAGGTCGTATTAATTATCCGATAAGTTTATGAAATATTAATGGTTAACTTGCCAAAGTACTATGTAAAAATCAGTTGTTTTATATTCAAGTTTATGTACTGTAAGTTCCTACAGGATTACATGAATGACTACTGTAGATAAAGTACACAGTTTGAACACACCAAGGCAATTGTGCCTCTTGTATGACTGGTAAGACAAGGACGCCTAGTTCTGAAGGGCTCGTTACCAGTTGCGTACTCCATATCCAAGAAGAGTAAATTTCGAAGTTCACCAGTTTCCGAAAAACATTCCATGCATACTATGTTACTGCCATAGTCTTCACTGCAAACAATGTAATTCTTAGTGATATGGTTGAAAGTTCTGCTGATAATCTGCCAATGTGATCGCTGCTGTAATGTAACAGTCCTTTGTAGCATTCCGTCTTGGGTATACACATGAAGCATACGTGGATGCAGAAGATTGCCGTCTGCTTCGCGAAGAGTATCTTCAGTTGCGAGTATTATTTCGTTATTGGCAGACTCATCGCTAGAAACAAATTCAGCAACTATACTCTTATATCCAGACTGTAAACGTACGGGAAAGCTTTTCATTAGTTTGCAATTGCTGTCGCATAAATATACAGTGACATTGTTCCCACGGCCTTCACTATAAAATACAATCCTTTTGTCTTTTGTCACAGTAAAGCGTCGAAGCACTTCCCTTGTATACGGAATGCGAATATTGCCGAACACTTCCGAGGAATAGTGCTTGGTGATTCTTCCATCTGAACTGTAGCCTGATAACATAGGTATACTGGAAAACGACAAAATGTACACCGTATCGGTATCATCGATAGCTACATCAACAACATGGGCACCCAAGGCCAACGGAGAACGAGAAAACCGTTGCCACGTCCCAGTTGCTTTTTCGAGTTTTCCAGGATTTTTACTTCTAAAAGTACCTATGATATCTCCTTTGCTGTTCACAGCAAAATCCGCCGACTCTGTCGTATTAAGCGGATGATGTTGTACAATATCCCAGGGTGGTGTTATTTCTATGTTTTTCATTTTACTTGCAATTTCCTGGTCGTAATGAATTGGATGGACAACTCGGGTGCCACATTCTATCATTGGCCAGTCAAAAACAGCCATTCTGCGTTGTGTAAACTTCGAGATAAAATCAGCCAAGATCAAATTAATCATCGTTATAGTCTCCACAATATTGGCTCGTGTCTCTTTCTTGAAAAAGGATTTCATTCCTCCTTGAAGGTGCACTAAAAATATTTGTTGAATGGCTGGCATGGCATGTAGTTCTCGAAGATACCGCAAACAATCACTGGCCGCGACGTCTGGGTCATCTAATTGTTCAAGAATTGCACTCGCTATTCGCACTTTACTAGCAAGAACTCTATCTTCTGTGCTCAAAGAAGCGTTATGAAATGCTTCGCTTGCTTTCATACCTGCCTCTTTGAACGATTCTTTAGCTGACTCAAATAGTTCATTTGATTCAATGTTTAGTTTTTCGACGGCATTGGCAAGTGCAAGTGCGTCATCCAAAGTTACAGACTTTTGAGCTGTCGTCGTCTCGGTTGAACTTGCCCCAGCGTTCGTTGTGTCTTGCAACTGCAGACGATCGTAACCTTTTCCTAGACAGCTAATACTCACGAGTAGATCTTTCCGAGCATTAGCGTCAAGTTTAAAGTTGATGTCATCCCCTTCACGAACAATCCAATCTCTAAATTTCTGGTCGGCAAGACCTCCATCTTGGAGTTTCTCAGCGCCATAAGTGCGAAGTTTGCCTACTACTATGCCGAAGAGGAGCTTCATTATAGGTGTGATGGCAAATTTCAAACATTTGAGTGCGATTACTTCAGCCATGTTTGCTCAACTGAGAGAAGTGAAATTCTATACGTACGTAAAAATGTGCATGACAGTCACAAGATTCTTGCTTTGCGTGGGATCAATTGTAATTCAAATTACGTAATAATCTGTTTCAAAATAAAACGCTTTAACGTAGCTTCCAGGAAAACTCACCAAGGAACTTTCAACTTAAGTAATAAACAAATGTGAACTGCCTAGTTTGACTTCCCAAAGCGGGGATTATTTCAGGTAAAATTTTAGTTTCATTTCTGTGACGCAATTACCGACATTTGAAAGGCAAGTTTCGGTTGCTGATTTCTTTTGTTTTTTGATCAGGAAGTCTTCGCCTCCAACTGTGCCTGATCGTGGGAATGAAAGCTGATTTACATTGTCAGAGTTTCCGTGATCACAATGTCAATGGCGTCAACAAATTTTGACTCAAATATTTTTCATTTAAAATCATCAGATCCAAAAGATTTATATGGCTACCATACACTTTGATCAAATTATAATATGAAAGTTCCTTGAAGAGTTTTGCTGGAAGCTAGGACCTAGGTTAAAGCGTTTTATTTTGAAACAGATTATTACGTATAAATTTGAACTACAATTGATCCATGCACGCAAAGCAAGAATCTTGTAACTGTGCACATTTTTATGTGTCTATAGAACTCGTTAGAGGAACACCTTACAATTTCACTTCTCTCAGTTGAGCAAACATGTCTGAAGTAACAGAATTTAAATGTTCGAATTCTGCCATCACACCTGTACTGAAGCTCGTCTTCGCTATAGTATCAGGCAACCTTCGCACTTATGGCGCTGAGAAACTCCAAGATGGAGGTCTTGCCGACCAGAAATTTAGAGGTTGGATTGTTCGTGAATTGGATGACATCAAGTTTAAACTTGACGCTAATGCTCGGAAAGATCTACTCGTGAGTATTAGCTGTCTAGGAAAAGGTTACGATCGTCTGCAGTTGCAAGACACAACGAGCGCTGGGGCAAGTTCACTGGCCGAGACGACGACAGCTCAAAAGTTTGTAACTTTGGATGACGCACTTGCACTTGCCAATACCGTCGGAAAACTAAAGATTAAATCAAATAAACGATTTGAGTCTGCTAAAGAATCGTTCAAAGAGGCAGGTATGAAAGCAAGCGAAGCATTTCATAACGCATCTTTGAGCACAGAAGATAGAGTTCTTGCTAGTAAAGTGCGAATAGCGAGTGCAATTCTTGAACAATTAGATAACCCAGACGTCGCGGCCACTGATTGTTTGCGGTATCTTCGAGAACTACATGCCATGCCAGCCATTCAACAAATATTTTTAGTGCACCTTCAAGGAGGAATAAAATCCTTTTTCAAGAAAGAGACACGAGCCAATATTGTGGAGACCATAACGATGATTAATTTGATCTTGGCTGATTTTATCTCGAAGTTTACACAACGCAGAATGGCTGTTATTGACTGGCCAATGATAGAATGTGGCACCCGAGTTGTCCATCCAATTCATTACGACGAACTCAAGAAATTGCAAGTAAAATGAAAGATATGGGAACAACACTACCCTGGGATTATATGCACGCGTCTAATAAATAACAGGGAGTAATTATAACATTAGGATAAAAGTATACTTTATGTGGAAACGTTTGTTCGAAAAAACAAAATCAAATGAGTGGTTATCTCGTTAAAAAAAAGTCGTCTTCGTTGTCTAATTGTCACTTAGAATGCGTTTTAAGTATTAGCAAAAATCGTATCATTTTAAGTATTATACAAATCGTTTCGTTTCCATAGCTTAATGATACAGCCATTATTTATTAACGTTGTCTTCTACAAAATTAGTCAAAACCAAACGCGAAAAGTACGCTAAACTTTAGCTCTTGGCCTAATTCTCGTCAATATTGCAATTCAACGGAGTGGCCTAAATATAGGTTATCATTACATATTTTTTAGGCAGAACTGTTGCTGTGAGAAACGTCGCAATTGTACATATAAAATTGATATTCTTAATGGATGCCTTTTGTTCTCAGAGATGTACAGGTTTTTATTTGGTTAAATAGCCATTCAATTTATAGATAACTGGATCCCGCATCCTTATATGGACGATATACATGTCCAGGGTGTCCCCCAAAAAAGTCCCCCTACAGAAATCACTCTTTTGTTGTTAAACGTGCGTTGTTATATCTCTGGGAATTTAAAATCGCTTCTAAAACGAACAGCAACACAAGAATGTCAAATTACAAATTCGTCTTATGCCGTCAGTTCGAGTAAAGAATGGTTCAACTGCCTACAAAGCAACGGGTATTTGTCGTAACAACTTATACGTTAACGCGAAGTGTAACCGAAGTGTTAAATTATTTGGACGAAGGGACGTTGTAAATACTTCCGCCGTTCATCAGTACAATTAAATTAAATTCCCAAAGGTATAATAACGCACAAGAGGGATTTCTAAAGGGGAACGTTTTGGGGGGACACCCTGTATATTTGTTAGGCACGGTCAAATCAATGACAAGAGTTAATGAGAGTTGAGAAGCAAGAGTTTGCATTAGAGTTTTCTCAACTCTCATACCCCGGTGTAACGCGAGAACAAGAATAGGCAATTCAAGCTTTTAATTTTTGCGCGCAGGGGGACGGGAAGTAAGGTATCATATTGCTCATTATGCTGATTCGATAAAATAAAAATTATAAAAATTCAATAAAAACTGCCGAGACAACCGAAATATTTCAATATTTACAAGTATGAGCTGTCACTCCGTGTTTACACGGCCGCCATTTTATTTTTTCAGCATGATCAGCAATATGATACTTTTCCCACCCTCCCCTGCGCGCATAAATTAAAAGTTGGCTATTGCCTGGAGTTTATGAGAGTTGACAGTCAAGCATTATTACGGGGACATTTCAAGCTCTAGATTAACAAAATAAAGGTTTGATAAGTGTTCCAACTATGTTTTAACTTAAATGGAATACATGATAGCGTTGGGAAAGCATTAAAATAAAGTGTATATGACATGAAATTTTTTAAGTGGTAGTGTAACTTATTTTTCAGTTTCTTGTTTTTATGGTTTGTTCCCGAGATATTTCAATTTGTTTGATATATAAATGAGTGTGAATATGTCCGCTAAATTATATATGACGTCAATTTGGTTGCAAGCTCTTCAAAATGGTTGAATATCACTGCTATCATCCAAGATGATAATTTCAAACTTCACTCACTGGAAACACTGGAGAAAAACGTAAACTAATATCAACAGTTTTTAGAGTTAATACATTTATAACCGGTGTAAGTTAATTTTAAGTTTGCAACCAACATGACGTCATAAATTAGCGGACATATTCACACTCATTTACATATCAAACAAATTGAAATATCTCGGGAACAAACCATAAAAACAAGAAACTGAAAAATAAGTTACACTACAGCTTAAAGAGTTCTTTCATTTAAGAAAATAAGAAATTTCATGTCATATGCACTTTAAGAACAGCTAACCAAGATCGCGTGAATTCTGCCAATTCTTATGTAACTCTCATCTTCGTTTGATCTGTGGACTTTAGCTAGCCGTACTACCACACACAGCAAAGACTCTCATGAACTCTCATCGTCAGGCTCTATTCGTCTATGCACCCACACCTAAAGAGCCCTGGCAATAAAACAATTAGTTTGTCTCATTCAAACGAACTCTTAAAATTACAGTATTAAACTCCATTACCGATTTGTCATATCTTGCTTAGTTCTCGAAATATTTAAAGCGAAATAAATGAGCTGCCCGCCGTCTTGGACTAATTCTTGACCAACCTCGTTCCGGCAGGGTCTCTCCTTCTGTCCTTTGGGATCCTGGGTACGAGGTTGATTCTTGACCTCATTAACTATATGGTTTTGATGACGTCAGGAGTTGGGTTAACCATATAAAACTACTCTAAAATGACCGAGTAACAATCCAAAATTGTTTGAAATGTTTTTAATCATTTCTCAATTTTAGAATGCAACCAGAAACGAAGTTTTGGGCCCGCATTGATCGCTTTTCCCTGCTGGCAGAGGTCTCAATTTGTGCCAATCTCGTTCCCCGAGCCTGCAATCCTCGGGAAGGAACGCGAGGCTCTGGGATAATCCGTTTCACGGAGGAATGTGATTGGCCGTTGAAATGGAATGCGTAGTTCAATCTTAGCCAGAATTCCTGGCTTCCGGCAACGGATTATCCCAGAGCCTCGCGTTCCTTCCCGAGGATCGCAGGCTTGGGGAACGAGATTGTATTTGTGCTGGTAAGCGAAGGAGAAGAGACCTCTGCCTAAATCTGACACTTCCTCAGTCCACGATCGTGGACGAGTCAAACCAGTTTGTAAAACAAGTTCTGAAACCGGTTTAGAGAAACAAATAGTACGCATGCTCAGAGCTGAATTACGCTGTAATGACATTGAGCCCATAGTGTCAAAATGGCGGCCTGCACAGCGTGGTCATTTCGAGGTTTTTCATGTTTGAAAGTGCTCTAAGTTATGTAATTGATATTTTCAAAGATGAAACTGTGAAAGCAGTGACAGAAGAACAAAAGAAAGCAATCTTTTCTGTTTTATCGGGCCGAGATACATTTGTTTGCCTTCAAACTACGGTAAGTCTTTGAATTACCAAGTTGCTTCCTTCAAAAACCGGTTTGATATCACGTGGTGAACATCAGTCATTGTCATGGCAATTTTTGCACATGCGCAACCAACCTCGTTCCCAGGCTCTTTCCTCTCCTCAAGAGGGAAGAGCCTGAGAACGAGGTTGATGCGCGACAGAAAACGTGTCAGATAAGCCCTGGGAACGAGGATGATCTCGGCAGAGGTCGCTTGGGCCTGGGGACGAGGATGGGCAGAGGTCTCTTCTCCTTCGCTTTCCTGCACAAATAGAGACCTCTGTCAGCAGGGAATGATTGCTTACTCTCAAGATAAAAAATTAGCGTGACCCCCCTCTCTTGAGGTAACATGCATATATAGTCCTCAATAACCCAAGATGGCGAACAGCTCACTTTTTTCAGTCGAAATGTTTTTTGAAAACTAGGCAAGATATAATTATAAACAATCTGTAATAGAGTTTAATACATAGTTTTAAGAGTTCTTTCAAATGAACGAAACTATTTTTTATTGCCAATGTCCTTGAAGGAAGGGAAAACAGTGATGATAAACGCAAGCGAGAATTAACGATCATCATCACAGAATTAACTCTCATGCTTCTATGACCGCAGGCTTTAATTACTGCTTCAAAATATAAACGTGCTATATTGGTGCGGAATAGTTTTGCTTTGTAGACCTACTAAACCTTGGCAAAACTTGCCATATTCATACACACAGACGTATCATATGTTTAGACGAACTCAAGCAAATTTCTCCGGAGTGGTTGAATATCGCGAATTGTTATAAGTGCATGAGTCGCTAATGTCCGATACTATAAAAGCCTAGTTTACACTATCAAAGTTTCTGTGATCACAGTAGCAATTTTGCGTTGGGAAATTCTAAGTTTTGAAGGTTTTGAAGGAACCGAACTCGGTGTTTAACACTTCGTACAATCCTTCAAAACATTCGTACAAATCCTTCAAAATGCAAAATTTTTACATCACGAATTTTAGTCCGCACAAGCTGCGCAAAAGTGGCGTCTGTTAATGGTGTAAGCTATACAAGTTCTCAATAGATACATTTGTGCTTGTTTTCGGCTTTCTTTTAAAGTCATGTAACAGGGCGCTTATATATGTAAGCGCCCTGGATGTATTTTTAAAATATCCATTCAGAACAATTGCCAAAACACATTATATTGCACGTATAGTGTACACGTCTAGCCGTATTCTTTTGTAAGTCTCGATGAATAATTGATAAGTTTGGAAGTAGTCATAAGCGATTTTTAACAAAAAACAGTATATTAGCTCGATTATAAGCGTAAAAATGCTTGTTTTAATTCCAACACTGTATCAAATGATTAAACCTCATCCATTTTGTCTCGGGAAAACGATAGAACATTATATTATCGATATTATAGTATATTCATTGCAACGGTTCGTCAAAAGTTTTGCGAGACATACTGGCGTCTCCGAAGTGGCGGCGTCGACTTATACTGCCTGACTTCCCCTCAAACGCCTTTGTCTTGGCCAATGGATTGATGGCGGACGTCTGCATCGCACGACTCACGTCAATATTTGATTTCGGTTCCTTCTCATCAGGACGTTTATTTGCCTAGTATCGCATATGCCGTTTGCCGTCTATATGACAGTCTGTGCCTTAAGTACAGTGATACCGCGTCATGCGGTTTTAAAAGCACAAACACCGGCTTGGTAAAAGGATCGTGCCTACTGGTATAGCTGTTTGGATTATATCTCGTTCAATTCTGAAACCTATCTCTTTGGGGTTTTTTTAAGGTAATGTGAGGTTTGATATCTTATATATATATAATAAAGATATGACAGTTGTGGAATATTGCATTCACCCGTTCCTGGGTTTAAATATGACCCTTGTTTTGGCGAGAATTTACATGTCAATGGGAGAGTCGCTGTGAAAAGGTCATGAGGGAGGGTCCTATGTTTCCCATCACTGCTTCAGCTTCTATCTTCCAGCTCATAGATGCAAATATAGTGTTAACCGAACTAAATTCCTCTTGGTGTTGTACTCCCTATACTTATTTTAGCCTGTGCAAACTAACTTTATTTCTACTGGATATAGTACGAATTCTATCAGTTCCAAACTGTTCTTCCTAGAGGTCCAGTAAGAGTCATCTCTTATTAATTGATCCAGTGTTACCACAGGAGGAAACCTAAACTAAACTAACTTTATTTATACTGGATAGCTCTATCAGTTCTAAACTGTTCTTCTTAGAGGCCCAGTAAGGATCATCTCTTATTGATCCAATGTTACTATAGGAGGAAACCTAAACTAAACTAACTTTATTTCTACTGGATATAGTACGAATTCTATCAGTTCCAAACTGTTCTTCCTAGAGGTCCAGTAAGAGTCTTCTCTTATTGATCCAGTGTTACTACAGGAGGAAACCTAAACTAAACTAACTTTATTTATACTGGATAGCTCTATCAGTTCTAAAATGTTCTTCTTAGAGGCCCAGTAAGGATCATCTCTTATTGATCCAATGTTACTATAGGAGGAAACCTAAACTAACTTTATTTATACTGGATAGCTCTATCAGTTCTAAAGTGTTCTTCTTAGAGGTCCAGTAAGGATCATCTCTTATTGATCCAGTGTTACTATAGGAGGAAACCTAAACTAAACTAACTTTATTTATACTGGATAGCTCTATCAGTTCTAAACTGTTCTTCCTAGAGGTCCAGTATAAGAGTTATCTCTTATTGACCCAGTGTTACTATTGGAGGAAGCTTACACTAAACTAACTTTATTTATACTGGATTGTTCTATCAGTTACACTCGCTAAAGGTCCAGTAAGGATTATCTTTTATTGATCCAGTGTTACTACAGGAGGAAACCTAAACTAACTTTATTTATACTGGATAGCTCTATCTGTTGTAAACTGTTCTTTCTAGAGGTCCAGTAAGGATCATCCTAGCTCTTATTGCTCCAGTGTTACTACAGGAGGAAATCTAAGCTAAACTAACTTTATTTATACTGGATAGCTCTATCAGTTCTAAACTGTTCTTCCTAGAGGTCCAGTAAGGGTCTTATTATTAAGTCCGTTTCCTTTTCAACGAAAACGAATATGAAACTATACCCAATATTCCAGACCACGCGGCCTATATAGCTCTGCGCGCAAATATAGTTTATTAAAATATCCCCCACACAAAGTCCAACACATCATAACAGCGATTTAATATTCAAAGATGCATTAAAAATGACGAATCTGAGAGCATAATTCATTTTTAAAAAATCCACGCATTAAAGTTGAGTGCGTACACCTGTGATTAAAGTCGATTCGGTGCTAATGGTGTGCCAATAAATGTCAAATTTCGATAGCTCTAAGATTGTGTGTTTGTCGGCGCGCGGCTAGCCAGATGCTGTTCGGCGTAAAAAAGGTTATCGGCGCCCGACTATTGCTGTTTTGTTTCCCGACTGAATATGGCAGCTGCTTTTTTGCTTGGCCGACTTTTTTCCGCTTTCATTTCGGAGGCTTGTCTTGTCGTGTATTCACACTCCTTGTGGGTATATACGCTCAGGAAAATTTAAATATTTATCAAACAACCGCTTGAATAATTGTATATAGAATTAGAAGTTATCATTTAGTGCATGTATGTGTAGGTAATTCATAGCGATATATTTCGCTTTGTTTATAAGTATATTTTTATCATCTTTAGGGTTTTGAAATTCAATCTTGTCTCGTTTTTTTTGTCTCCGGGAATGAAATTAAATTAGAATCTCCTTTCGTTCGGTTAAATCATATGGTTAAATAGGTGGTTTTTCCTCATTTCAACTTAGGCCAGATACGTTTACAACTTTACATATAGTCTATACCGGATAGCTTTTCGTAGCGGCGCGAAAAAGCACCTGCCCGATACTCGATACAGAATGTACAACTTTCAGAAGCTGAGCGAAACAACATCGACATCTCTCCGTTGCAATAATTCATCTGGGCTCTGAAAATAGCGCTCTAAACATAGATATAGGAGATCTAGATTGCTAACGCATACCTAGCGCAGGCGGGGCCTACATGATAAATCCAAGATGGCGGTACAAGAGGGCAAAAAGACTATAGATTCTATTACGAAAATCAAGATTTTTGCATTTTTTGCCGTCCCATTGTTTTGAAACTTATTCGGTCAAATTTTATGGTAAAGAGAAACTTACCGCGAAGATTTTGAGCATATTTATGATTGAATTGGATGAAAACTCGCAAAATTATCCAAGGATAAAAGTTCGTGTATAGTATTGATATAGTACTATATATGTAACTTGTACAGTTTTGCTTTAATTTTTGCTCACTATTTGCATAGAAAGCAAATTATAACAGACCATAGATGATAGACCCTTATCCAGTGCTCTCATCAGTTTACTTCTCTAACAAGCAAGGAGGGGGGGGGGGGTACATAACAGTTCATTTTTCATAATTATGAGGACAGAGCAGATGATGATGAGAGATGCAAGTATAAAACACCATTCACAAGGCTAGATGTTAACATAGCACAGTATTTCTGGCAATAAAACGCTCCAACTGACCAACTGACCATTTCACACGAACTTTTATCGCTGGATAATTTTGCGAGTTTTCATCCAATTCAATCATATATATGCTCAAAATCTTCGCGGTAAGTTTCTCTTTACTATAAAATTTGACCGAATAAGTTTCAAAACAATGCGACGGCAAAAAATGCAAAAATCTTGATTTTCGTAATAGAATCTATAGTCTTTTTGCCCTGTTATACCGCCATCTTGGATTTATCATGTAGGCCCCGCCTGCGCTAGGTATGCGTTAGCAATCTAGATCTCCTATATCTATGGCTCTAAAGGCCTAATTCCACGACGAGCGAAATGCGAAAAATTTCGCGCGAAAACACACTTGCGCAAATTTTCTCTCGTAGTGATTTCCACAGTAGAGAAAAAATTCGCCAAAACACAAGCATTTGATTGGTTTCGCTATTTTGTCATCCAAAACACAAGCATTTGATTGGCTTCGCTATTTCCATTTCGCAACAGAGTAGAAACGAATTCAACTACCCGGCGAAGAGAAATATTTCACAGAGAAACATTCCAAAATCATGTTGCGCATGCGTTCAATCTTTTCGCGCGAAATTTTTCGCATTTCGCTCGTCGTGGAATCAGGCCTTAAAAGGTACGGATATGTGTCTTTTCGTGTCGCTAATTACATTATAATTTTGGAAATATTTCTTCAGAGATCTTGTCTGGATCGATATTAGTTTACTTCTCTGAAGTTGTGAAATAAACGGAGGTGCAGAAATACACAAACTAAAACAGCAGGTTTAATTTTAACCCAGGGTTAGCGCTATTCCACCTTTGAACAACCGGTCCCAGAAGTCTTTTCGAGTTGTGGTGACGTCACACACCGTGACGTCACGGCAATACATGCGGAAATTCAAGATGGCGGCGGAACAAATACGCGGAAGTGGAGCAGAAAACAGGAAATTAAACTGTTGCGATCTTCCGAGGAAATTTTGTAAAAACAAACAAGTATTATGATTTGAATTGGAATGGCCCATGGTACTGGACCTCTAGGGAGAACAGTGTAGAATTGATCGGAACTATCCGGCAGTATATATAAAATTTGTTTAGTTTAGGTTTCTTCTGGTATAGTGACACTGAATCAATAAGAGATTATCCTTACTTAACTATGCCTTACTGGACCTCTAGGACTAGGAACAACAGTTTAGAACTGATAGAGCTATTTAGTTTAGTTTAGGTTTCTTCCTGTAGTAACACTGGATCAACAAGAGATGGTCTTTACTGAATTTCTAGGAAGACCAGTTTAGAACTGATAGAGCTATCCAACATAAATAAAATTAGTTTAGTTAGGTTTCCTCCTGTAGTAACACTGGATCAATAAGAGATGATCCTTACTGGACCTCTAGGAAGAACAGTTTAGAACTGATAGAGCTATCCAGTATAAATAAAGTTAGTTTAGTTTAGGTTTCCTCCTGAAGTAACACTCACTGGATCAATATGAGATGATCCTTACTGGACCTCTATAGGAATAGCAGTTCAGAACTGATAGATCTATCCAGTATAAATAAAGTTAGTTTAGGTTTCCTCCTGTAGTAACACTGGATCAACAAGAGATGGCTCTTATACTGCCCGGATCTCGAGATCTTGGGGGACCAATTTAGAACTGATATAGTCTGATACAGCAATATTTTTTCGGCTAACCAAATGTTCAGTCTAAAAAAGGCGATACAACCTAAACTAAAGCCTTCTTAAAAATGCGCAAACCACAAACAGAGTATTACTGTGACTATAATGTTTATGCGGTCGAAGGGATTAGAGCGGTCGGCCTGGTATATAGCAGTATCTTGCAACCATAGTACATCATAAGCCGAAATCTCCCCCACTCAGCCGCGATGTAATAAGCGCTGTTTGGCAAAGTTAAAAACAATTAGATTTTAAACCGATACAGATAACGCTTTACCTATTGTGGTTATGCTTGTGTTATTAAACACGACTATATATTGGCTTGTCTTAACCGGACGCTATATACTTTTGTTTATCTTCCAAGCTTTTTATGTTATAATTGTTGCGATATGTGTTATGTGAACGAAAAATCGACAGTTTTTCCATTCATTTTTTCCTCGCTACTTTCGGCAGAAGAGGATATATAAATACGCGTGCTTCACAAGCAAGCATTTCTCTTGGAAACATGCATATTTTCTGCTATAGATTTAATATGTTTATATATACAGAGCGCTGTGCCGTTGTCTTAAATAAATAAAGCCAAATGAAATATATTCAAATGACAGAGTTTTCGGTATAATATATAGATTATTTTATTGGACCGCCAGCGATACTAGCGTTCCGACATCAATATATTGGGCAGATAATATGAGATCATTTGCCGACAGCACATAATATTTTCGGTAAAAAATAACCTATGCTTTTAACCCTTTTAAAAGTTTAATTGTTTCTGCTTTCATGTGTTACTCTGTCTAACGACAGGCGACTATTCTTGTCTGGAAAGAAAGAGTTAAAAGTAGCTCCCTAATTCGGATGATTCAAATTGAGCGAAGACTTTTTCAGTCAGTGCTATCAGAAGATAGCGTCCCTTTCAGTTTCACCGCGAGAAGGATTTAATTCCTGTGATAACTGAAAGAGTTATATCCAGTGCAAATAAAGTCACGTTTCCTAGCGACAGGTGAAAATTTAGGGGGGCAAAAAAATATTTGCCATAGTGACTTTGTACCATTTTCACCGACCAATAAAAAAAATTTCCCTCATGAGAAACTTTTTGTTGTCGACGGTGGGATTTTCGAGACGCGTTAAATTTCTGCATGGCCATATTGCATATTCCTTGCATTTTCGACTGTTATCGCATACAATTTTTTACCCCATCTTTTTCGGCCCAACTTGTGTAGTTGAAATTTGCCCAACTTCAATCATTCCGGGGGCAGCCTTCACCCTAACCCCCCTCCCCCCGTCTCGTACGCTTATGTGAATCTTAGCTGTACAAACACATATGATGTTTAATTTTCAGGCGATTATATACACATGGCAATATTAACAGTTCGTTACCTTCATTGCGCATGCGTTTCCCAGCCTTATCTGACGCGCTTATCAGACGGAATTATCGGCAAACAATGGCCCCAATAAGCCGAGTTTTCAGCTGTGGTAAAATCGAAAGAGTTTATCGTGTTCATTAGATGTAGCGGTGCCTTTACTCTGCTACAATACAAGACGATCTAATTGAGTAAATTCGAGCGGCCTTGCTCGTGAAATATATTAATTCGCTTTCGTCAAGTGCTTTGCTGTCGGTACGCGGATAGCGCGTTTTGAAAGTGCCTGAATCGGCGCTGCTTAAACCAAATTGCGGGACATTAAAACCCCCGCGCAGCGGCCTACACTGACTATATAAACTTCGGCGTAGAGCCGGCTTGTTAGACCCTAGCTGCAGACAAACACTGCTAGACGTTCCAAGTTGTGAAAACTGTGAAAAGACGTAACTGATTTGGAGAATTTTTTCGCTGTTTGGAATTTCGGCAAACAAAATCTGACGCAATCAGGTGAATCATAGCTTCTGCATGATAGTATATATATATAGATCGTTATGTGTGCAATTAAACACTATTAACTCTGGTACAGTCAGTTTTTTATTGTATATATATATATATATATATATATATATATATATATATATATATATATATATATATATATATATATATATATATATATATATATATATATTATAGTGTAAAGTTTCAAACGATATTTTCAATGGTCAGGGGAAAAAATTTGTGACACGATTCATCCCGCGGATATGAAGATTCTTCTCAATGGAAAACGAAGTTGATTTGACATTATTTTCGTACTATATTTATTCATTGCTAGTTCATATTTTATAGTTGATCAAGGAATTGGTTTGATGTAAAGTGATGCGAAATGGCTGGAAACTGCATTTCGAAGTCGAGAAAACTAGTCTATGAAGAAAATTTGTCACGAAGAACGCCTCGTCAACGCGCTGGTGAGTTTTGTGAAACCCGCGTTACTCTTCAGGGAATGTTTGTGGTACTACAGAGTACAGGGTTCGTAGCGGTCTTTGAAATCCTTGAAAGTCTTTAAATTTGAATGCAGGTCTTTAAGGTCTTTGAAAAGTCTTTGAATTGTGTGAAAAAGCGAAGAAAGTCTTTAAAAGTCTTTAAATTCTTTAGTGATTATTTGATTATACGATTTCCTAGCTAATAAAATAGATTGATTGAAGCAAGATTTTCGCAAATATCGACGAAAAAGTGCATTTTAGGATGTGATTTGACGGGACTAATTACCTGGTAAAAATGGTGCTTATACATCGCAATTTTTCGACACCTGATTGCTCTCAAAGGCCTTTGAAAAGTCTTTGACAATAGGCAGAAAAAATCTTTGAAAGTCTTTGAAATGTTTTGGTCTTGGAGACTACGAACCCTGTACTAGTTTTACCTCGGCAATTGTGTGGTTATTGCTGATATTTTATGTCTTTGACTCTTTGCCCAATGGCATGTGAGAACAGACCAGTGTAGATTTTCTCCAAATCCCCGGGTTTTCTTCTGTATAGTGACACTAGACTAGACTGGATCTCTAGGAAGAACAGTTTGGAACTGAAAGAGCTATGGTATTAGGCTTATAGCTTCGTGGTCAATGTGGTATTACGCTTATGGTTTCCTTGCTTCGCGCTTTACATCCAGTATTACGCTTACCTAACTACATATTTAGCCTAGGTTATTTTATCTTTACACAATTGTGATATTACTTTCTTAACTGTGTTTATCCTAACCCACCCTGTCAACTTTTTCCTGTGGGAGGAAACCAGAGCACTCGGAGAAAACCCACGACTTTCGGCAGAGCGTTGACTGACCCTTTTCACATGCATGAGTCCGTAGCGAGAATCGATCCCGCGAACTCAGAAGCCCCTGTGTTCCTAACTACCGCACTCAACGTTTTAGCTACCTCCTACGCAGGCTGAGGCAAAGTATACACGTTCGCAGGTTACGATTCTTCTTATATGACTTGCCCAATATATGACATGAGTGTTTCTCTCCAAGCTGTTCCAACTTACAACCCGTGATATAGCTAAGAGAGCGGTCATTATTTATATACCTTTTGAGCACTCGGAAGAGAAATGTTTTCCTTGGTAAACACCTTGCTGATCCAACCATTAAAAAGTCAAAACAATTTTTACCCGACCTCAAATATCAATTATAAAATTAAATACCCACCCCTGGCCAAAAACTTCACAAAATAATACCATTCAGTTGTCACACATATCCTTATCACTTCTGTGACATGAGTTTGATAACTGCTTGTGTAATTTCCTGCAGTCTAAAGTTTCATGTTGTCTGCACATGTACTTTCTTTGGAGACACCATTTGCTCCTGACAAATCGGAAAATGATCAAGATAGTCACTCTAATTGATTTACATATTGTATTGTCATATGACTGTTGTTGACATTGCCGAGTTTAGTCTTCAATATTTGAATGAGTCATGCTTTGGAAATGACAATAAATTGGCATTACCCAACCCTTGCGTTGTTTTGTTTTTCATTTACCCAACCTTTTACTCACTCAAAATTTTGTTTACCCAACCCTTTTCTCTTCGGTGCCACCCCCCGCTAATTTTTCTCTCTTTCCAGAGTCACAGCGTGTTCTGCTTAAAGTTTGGAAAGAAGTTACAGAAAAAAGTAAGTTGAAACGTTTTAAGATGTTTCCGAGAATTTTTTCGTTTGTGGTGTTGCCGTGTTGGTGGTTTTGTTGTTGATAACTGATAGAGCTATCCAGTGTAAATAAAGTTAGTTTAGTTTACGTTTCCTCCTGTAGTAACACTGGATCAATAAGAGATGATCCTTACTGAACCTCTAGGAAGAACAGTTTAGAACTGACAGAGCTATCCAGTGTAAATAAAGTTAGTTTAGTTTAGGTTTCCTCCTGTAGTAACACTGGATCAATAAGAGATGACCCTTACTGGACCCCTAGGGAGAGTGGTTTAGAACTGATAGAGCTATCTAGTATAAATAAAGTTAGTTTTATAGTTTAGGTTTCCTCCTGACTCCCGTATAGTAACACTGAATCAATAATAGATTATCTTTACTGGATCTCTGGGAGAACAGTTTGGAATTGATAGACTAGCTATCCAGTATAACTAATAAAGTTAGTTTATATTTCTCTCATTGAAATCTATGTCTAAGATTGAACGAAACTATTTGTTGAATTTGTAAAAGGCTATAGGAATATGTATAACATGTGAAAAACGTACTGATTCGCAGTACGTGACTAATAAAACCTTGAATGTCATGAACACACAGACAACGTACTTATCTTTAAAGTTATCTCGACAAGTTAAACCTTACCATATGAAACTGTTTATCAAACTGCTCACGACCAGAGGGAAAACATTGCCGTCGAAATAATTAAACAGTTATCGGAACTCTCTACACGAGGTTGACGTAATCGGATTTCCGCGGATACTGATAGGTTTTACATGTATTTTGCGAGAAAGGGACGTGTTAGACGAGTATTAGGAAGACTTGACCTAAGACAGTTCCTTAGCTTTATACCATAGAGTAATTTCTATGTATCTCTATCAGTTCTAGACTGTTCTCCCTAGAGGTCCAGTAAGGGTCATCTCTTATTGATCCAGTGTTACTACAGGAGGAAACCTAAACTAAACTAACTTTATTTATACTAGATAGCTCTATCAGTTCTAAACTGTTCTTCCTATAGAGGTCCAGTATAAGAATCATCTCTTATTGATCAAGTGTTACTACAGCAGGAAACCTAAACCACAGAATACTACACAGAAGTCCATCTCCTTTGTTTTTTGCGTAAGCTCTATTCGTCATGATTCGTCACTCAGCAAGTACCGTAAACAGAAGCAGTCTCCCCCTGGAAATACTCAAAATGGCGCATGTCCAGGGGGGTGACTGATTCTGTTTACGGTACTTGCTGAGTGACGAATCATGACGAATAGAACTTACGCAAAAAACAAAGGAGATGGACTTCTGTGTAGTATTCTGTGCCTAAACTAACTTTATTTACACTGGATACCTCTAGCAGTTCTAAACTGTTCGTCCTAGAGGTCCAGTAAGGATCATCTCTTATTGATTCAGAGTTACTACAGGAAGAAACCTAAACTAAACTAACTTTATTTACACTGGATAGCTCTATCAGTTCTAAACTGTTCCTTTAGAGGTCCAGTATAAGGATCATCTCTTATTCATCAAATGTTACTACAGCAGGAAACCTAAACTAGCTTTATTTACACTGGATAGCTCTAGCAGTTCTAAACTGTTCTTCCTAGAAGTCCATGAGTAAGGATCATCTCTTATTGATTCAGTATTACTACAGGAAGAAACCTAAACGAAACTAACTTTATTTATACTGGATAGCTCTATCAGTTCTAAACTGTTCCCTTAGAGGTCCGGTAAGGGTCATCTTTTATTCATCCAGTGTTACTACAGGTGCCAAAACTGCGATGTTTGGCGAAGCCAGATTGGAAGCACTCGAGCCGGTATCAAATGCTGTTGAGACGCGATTATACCACCATAAAAACTGTCCATAAAATGTGACAATAGAATGATGTAGAAAACACGACGCGAACTGAAAGACGCGCCTTCGAAACAAAGAAATTCACAAAAAAAAACAAAAAAAGTTTGAATAATTTGTGGCCCCAAGGGCACATAAAATATGTTTCATAGCAGACCACGGAGCCGTTTGTGAAGGTTATATCAGTATTTTAGGCCCTATATATAGCTTTCCGGAAGAGTGCAATAAACTAGCGTATCCCTGTTGAGAGCTGTTTTTAGTGTATGTTTGATGAGTCGGGCAAAGTCTTTTAATTTGAAAGGTTAATTACTGCTCGCAATTTGCTCAGAATAAAAGCCTTTGTATATAAACTAAACTGCTATTGGTTGCTTCACGTGACGTCAGCGCCACCATGCCAGCTTCAAAGTGCCGACGCAGATGAGAAAAAATAGACTTTCGTATTTACGTTGAAAATACTATAGCCAAAGCGCTGGAAAAATATATAACATTAGCAACGGGTTTGCTCGAGAACACCACGGGATTTTCTCAACATAAACTGCATGTCAATTTTGTTTAATGATAATCGTCACGGACTCCTGTCGACTTCAGAGTAACCTGGGGTCTATATGACGCTAAACAAAAAGCAAGTTAATAATGAAGTATTGTCTATAATGAAAGTATGTTCTAGACTGGCAAACATTTCTCTTTTTTGATTTCGAACGGTCTGAATATTGTGAAAATTCATCGTCTCAAAAACACGCTCTCGCGCGGCCAGTATTTCTCAACGAGATTTTACGCTACGCCCGCCAAAAAAGCAGGGCAGTTCGAAGACACTAAAGTTGATGATACTACACTTCTTGGCCAAAAATTTATGCAATCTCTTATTGAACAACTCAAAGAGGTTACATTCAGTTTATCAAATTTGGAGTCCAGAGTCTTTGAAATAGCACTATTGTCAGTGTAGTACTGGCCATATTGATTAGAATTCAATTTAAAAACCATTAAAATCGATAACAATCGAGGAATTTAGAACGTAAAATTCCAGAAGCAGCTATTAAATGTAAGACTCCAAAAAATAGTCGTGCCC